GATACCTTCCCAAACACAAGACCTGACAGCTCCATGAGAGTCGCAAAATCGGCCAAATCAAGAACGCTTGGAGCCAAGTAATTCCAGGAGCTTCACGTTGACACAACTTTTTTAGCCCCGAGTCCCCATTGACCAAAGGGAACGGGATTCTGAGCTCCCGGCTCGGGGTCTGGCGAGCGGCCGCCTGAATGAACTCCAGATGGCCGAAACGATTTTCCGTGGACTTTTGAGGGAAACCAAAAGAAAAACACTGATACAAGACACTTCAAGGGGTCCCCTAAAAAGAGGGAGAGGTTCCCTCAAAAGAGGGAGGGGTCTTCAAAACTCTATTTTCGGAGAAATCCCCTAAAAAGACAGACACACGCACTTCAAGCTTTATTTGGGGCTTAGGGTGTTCTTCAAAACCAATCCTCAATCCTGAAGCCAAGGTTCCCTATGGTGGTGCCCCTACCATACTGCAAACAAACAGCACACCACAACACCGAGCTGTACATTACGGTAAATCAGAGCGCTGCCTTTTACCCTGTAAGCCTTACTTGTTGACAAACCAACAACTATTCTTTGAGAACATCACCCCTGATCGAGGGCTTCTGGAGACCATCTTCAGAAGGGGACATGTCCACTTCCATTGGTTCTGTCCATATGAGACTTTGGAGCCCTGCTCGATCTGCTGGGAAGGCACCAAGCAGCAAACCAAGAGTTCCAATTGGAAGGGTGGAATTGCCAAGAAATGGCAGAACGTCAAAGAACTGTCGGGTTAGGTCTACATGGGGTTTGGCCCGACTGTTTGACATTTAGTGGCGTCAGCAAGCCTGGATAACGCTCAACCATTCCCTAATTGCATTGCCCTCTGCAATAACTCCCACTTAAAACTTAAAGGAAACCCATTTTCAAATTAGAATCCAAATTTAATGCCTAAACCCACGAAAAGGACACCATACTTGGAGGGGCGGGGTACTTAGTAAGTGGACTCCTGATGTACCCTGCCCCTCTAAGAGGGGCCTTATTTTGCCTGAGAAGCACACCGGCAGCCTCACAACTAAACATGGTACACACAGAACCCCCCGCCCCCCCCCCCCCCCACCACTGCGCACACAGAACCCCACAACCTCTCCGTTCGACGGTCCCATGCAGGCTTGGGTCAATCCCCTGCAGCACGCTTCAGACGCCAAACTTGTCTTCCATTTGGTTAGGCCCCAGGAAAAAATAAAAATATATGTCCAGTAGTGATGAATTCCTTTGAAAACCAACAAGGGAAAATAATATTAAGCAAATGGTTGTTGTTAAACTATCTTTTGACTTGTCTAAGGAAGCCACAGCCCGGCTCGAACATCTTTTCCTAAAGATTACGCCGCGATGGCACAATTCCCGGGTATGATAAGGCCATGGGCGAATGGTGCCACGTACCTGGTGTCTCTGTTCTGTTCACTGCTTTTCGGAAGCCACCGTGAGTTCCCATCAAACTTGCGCCAGAAACGCCTGGTTAATCCTGGTTAATACTGGTGTAATTGCCATGTTCAGTGGTTGAAACCCAGAGAAAAAGGCGGAAGCAGCTTGCGAACGAAGACCTCCGAGAGTGAGAAGATAGAACTTGAAACCCAACCAACCCCACCCCTAGCCCAAAACAAACGCCCCACCGAGCTTCCGCGCCGACAGTCGCTGAGACCATATGCTCAGCTGGCCTGGGGATTTTTAGGTATCCCTGAAGGGAAACCACACGAATATCCTGAAGTACAAGCCAACATAAATGGCCTTTTGGGATAAATCCAAAACAACAAAGAATTCCCAGGGTACAAACTACCCTCCCACCTGTCAACATGGCAACCCGACAGGGGAATGGTTTCCTTAAAGAGTAAATGGTACAATTCAGGAGCCCCCCGAACGTCAAGTTCCATGTGAAAAAGGGAGGGAGGGTAATTCCATGGGCTTTTGGGTACTTTAAAACCAAACTTAGATGACTATGTAGTGTATGCCTCCAGCCCCTTATACGAGCATAGCTTCAAACTAAGGCTTTGAATAATACTGGAAACCAATGGAAAACTGAGCGACACCCATTTTGTAATACCCCCTATTTGACACAAATCCCCCTTGATGATTTGGATTGGTGGGATTTGAACCCCTCATTCTTGTAGAGGGCAAATGGGAAACCACCTCCAACCTCCAAGCAAGCAATCCAAACCACCAAGTGGACGGAAGCTGATACTTGTGCTTTGCAAGGGAAATCACTTAGGGTTGGTCATCCGTTGGCTCGGAAATACCTTGTACTTCATGAAGGTCCCACTGGAGGGTACTGAAAGGGGCGGGTGCTTGGTTACAGTGCCAAACACGAGGTGTTGTTTTAAATGGCTCTGGCTCAAACACCCAAAAATTTGAGCCACACTCAAGCCTCACTTGCCCTTTAGGTAGGAGTAAAAGGTGAATCTCTTGGGGCCAACGGAAAATGGTCGCCAGCAAAACCAGGAATGCAAAAGGGCGATTCGCCTTGGGCGTCCTTTCGGGGCCGCGCCTGCAGCATCCTCGGCCTGACCCGCCATCCGCGCGCGACCGGCAACAGAAACAAAACGCGGCCCCCCCACACCGTTGGGGTGTGGTTTTTTCATTGACCCTGGTGGACATCAAAATTTGGCGGAGATTTGAGTCCACCCACTCTGGAAGGTATTCAATATTGGCATTCGAGTTTGGGTCTTTGAACTTCAATGAGACAAAGGGTCGTGTGCGCTGGTTTAGCGGAACGTGACTCGGAGCGACTCTGCAAGGGACGATCAGATACATGGCGGGGCGCCTGGGTCACAACGCCCAGTGGGTGGTAAACGCTTGCTGGAGGTTCCCCCAACATGGGCTTCGGTGTACCGAAGCCGTGGCCCAATCCGGAAAGAGGGACACCCATGTTGTGGGGGGCTCACGTGCCATCGACAGGCAGTCCTTCAAGCCCGGAAGGCAAACTTGCTGATGCCAAAGATGGATGAGAATCCCCAAAGCTCACTTCTCAGGTTGGAGAAGAGCGTGGTAGAAAACACGGATTTACCTCAAATCAACCAAGAGCCAAGGGGTCTTTGTACCAAAGGTGCCACTGCAACTTCTCAGTCCCATTGGCAAAAAAGAACGCGCAAGCCAAACATGCATTTTATTTGGCTTTGCTGTCAAAACCAACCAAAAATTGTCTAGCCGATTCCCAAGCAAGGCGAGCAAACTGTTGAAGCCCAAATCAACCAATAGGATTGATTTCCTTGGGCAAAGTGTCAAGGGAGCCGAGCGCCAAAACACTCGCTTTGCGTGGGGAAGCGATGGTGAGCAGATTTGAGGAATTTCCCGGCTGGCAGTAGGGGGGCCCAGGATGGTTTCAAAGAGATATCAAAAGAACAACTGGGCAAGGCAGCTTGAAGAATCTGATTCGTCCAACATCGATAGACATTGGTTTCTACAAACATGGCTATAAAGGCTCGAGCCATTGCTTGTCAGTTAGCAAGAAAGAACTGGATGTTCGCCCAAAAGTTGCAGGGAAATCGCTTGTCTTCCATTGAGCCGATCGCCACTTGTTTAGAGGCAAGTGGAGAGGGACTGAGATTCATCCCTCTAAACTCTCTGTCTAAAGGTCTGTGTTGGTTGGCTTAGTGGTTTGGAGGTTTGGGGAAACTTTCCCATTTCGTTACACTGGAGTGCAAACCCCTAGGCCACCAATCCAAACCACTCGAGGCTTTCCTGGCTATATGGCTGGGAGTCGCCAAGAGCTTCTTCTCAAGTCGAAAATGCAAACCGCGCCTCAGAGACGTTGGAGACCGAGCGGAGGCGCATCTCGGGACCTCAGACTGTCGGACTGTCGGACTGTCGGACTGTCGGGGCAACCGAAAGCTTCGATGCCGCGCCTTCGATCTCACCGGCCCGCACGCCTGGCGAATCGACAAGAGGGCACGGATATTGTTCATTCAGGTGACCGGGTGTGTCAAAATGGGGGGGATCCCCAAAAAGGGCGGCTTTTTCCTTTTCTCTTTGTCCCAACCCTTTTTGTTTCGCCGAGAAAACACACAACAAAAACAAACAACCCCTGAAGGCTACTCCCAAATATTAGGGAGCCACACCCCGGTCCAGCGCAAAAGATCGAGGCGAACCTTTCAACCTGGCGGATGGGGGAGCTTCACAGGGTGTTTCCTTGTTTTGAGTTGGGATCCATGTTTTGAGTTTTGAAAGCAAACCAAAAGGACAATTCAAATGTGCGGTCCCCTAGATCCCGATAAACCTGGCATCATGGGGATCTCCTAGGGGCCACCCCGATCAGTCAAGCAGGTTTCATTAACCGAGGGTCGGCATGATTCCTGACGACATCCCTGGACGTCCCCTAAGGGTTTCCCCCGATGGAAATTGGCGCCTCAGACGTCCTTTTCATACCCCTTTTCAGCAATTCGGGGTGTCGATATAGTTGACTAGCATGTCCTTACAGACCTGATAGCTCCGCAAAGCTCCCTGTGTCTTGTAGGCCAATTTGGATAGCTCTAAGTGCGGCTCTCTTCCAGGCCATGTTACTCCCACGTGCGGAACATGTATCCCTTTCGTTCGGCTTGGCGCCAGCCATTGTGCTTTGAGCTTTCGGTTTGGCTCCAAAAGGTGGCGATGTCGTTTGTGTTTTTAAGAGTTGGTACCCCTGTTTTCGTGGTAAGGGAAGCCAGGGAAGCCAAAGGGAAAACCTTTCAGACATTTTTTGGGGTTCAAGACTTTAAAAGAGAGAGCCACACATTGATACCACACGATGGAAGGGTGCTAAGGATGCGGTGTCCCATAGACTACGTCGGTTTGACGAATGCACGTGATCTCCAGATGCAACACTTTTTTTGCATATTATGGCAGCATCTCAAAAATCACGGGTTCAAGCGCTTATCACTGAAGAGTTTGTCTCTAATTCGTGGAACCCGGAAAAAGGGCTGTTTCGGGCTTCCTTTTGATTACTCTTTAAAGCAGCCCAAAAGGGTGCGGAATCACTGGGACTCGCCGATACAGCTCAGCGCATTTCACTCCACGAAGGGCACAGAGTTGCTGGAATAGCCGGCAAACGCCACGTCGCTCTCCTGACCGATTCGCTGGTGAAACATCCAAAATCATCCACTTTCGGTGTCCCTTCCAGGAAAGAAACAACGTGGGTTGTTGAAACACCCTGGGCCCAGTTCTTCCTCACCCATTCCAGGATGTGTCAACATCGCAGTGGCGGAATAGGTCAGGTAAGTGCTGGGTAACCAGCTTGTATTGCCCTCGTGCAAGGTAACCAAGATCACTCAGCCGATTCTTTGGTGGTGTTCGATCATCACTGCCAAAGGATCACGCACTTCCGATGTGGATTGGCCAGAAGAAGTCCAGGACTTTGTATTTTCCACTAAAATGGTTCAGACCCAAACAGTGACTAAAGTCCAAAACGGAACTCAGGAAGTGGGTCCTTGAGGAACGGCCGGTTCAAAATTTGCAAAAGCGTCAACCACCTGACTTTCAAGTACTCAGAACAAGGAAACGCTCAGAACAAGTCCCGTTGCGGGTTGCTCTTGAAGCCCCATAGAGTGGACAGACAACATGAACAAACATCACACGAGGTCTGCATGGACAAACTGGAAAAGGCCCAAGCAGCACAAGGGAGGGATGTTGGCCGACCCAAGGCTTTAGGAGCAACCCCCAAGTTTACCTCTACTTGGGCCCAGCCTGGGTGCCAGTGGATTATCGTTTATTGGCGCATGGCTTTTGGTTTTGAGCGGGGCCCCCTCCGTTATTTCGGAGACAAACATGAAGCAACCCACTGGCGTGTCTGGGTTTAAGAGCCGAGAACTGCAAGCTACAGCTGACCATTGGATTACTCTCAGCGCTTTGCTTGGCTTTCAAACCCCCAACAAAAACTGCCATAGGACAAGTCGTGTGCATCTGTTTTCGCCCCCCATCCAAGCTTGTGCTAGACATAGTCGGCTGGAATACCAGGTAAATTTGCAAGCTTTCAAGTAAGACATGGGCTTGTCTTTTTTGAGGAAGGGTACTTTTGTCCCGGGTACAAAAGGAAAGCCTGCCTTTTTGAGGGTTCAATTCCTATTCGGGTTGCTCTCAAAGCATGGAAAGCCCACAAATGGTTGGTTTCCTCTTGGTTTCTTTTAAAACCCACCCAAAAAGGGGCTCGCCAACAAATGACACCGATCTCACGCTCCTTGACCAGAACCTCCACCCGGGACAAGTGCCCCAGCCCCGCTTCACCTTTTCCGCGTTCGGCCTGAGATCGGACCATGCGTCGGGTGGATGCCTTTGGCTCGATCGAGTTTTCAACTGGGAGATGGGTTTGACTGAGGGAACCCATTTTGGGGTGGTTTTACAGGGAATGCCAAGGAAACCAATGATTGTTGGGGTCCCACGATTCTAAGATACACCCATAGGCTGTATGGGATAAATTCCCACGAAAGTCCAAACGCCAAAGGGTAAGGCTTCCCCAGTCAGTATGGTGCCCCGTTCAGTTCACCTAGCAAATCAAGTGGTACGTGGTTCGCTTAGTAAGTATTCACTCAGGACCCTACTTGTTGTGAATCGAAAAGAGGCCCCAGTTTCTGTGGTGATTGTACAGAAACGCTACTTCAAAGGGGCAGGATACTTGATATGTGGAGAGCGAACGCGGTTGACAAGCATTGTGTCGTTCTGCCTGCCTAACACTTGCCAGAGCAACTTGGAAACTCAGACACACAAATCGCGGAACTCTTGAAAAAAGGTACTGTGGGTGACGAAATCCTGCACTGGTTGGGATGGATGAAACCCCAATACTGGTTGACAAATGAATATAAACCACCAATCCCAGTTGGTGCGAAGCGGATTTTGTCCAACGGTTGCAATTCGCCAGGTCGGTTGTGTGCAGGGCCAGGAACGGCAAGTACCCGTTGTTGGAACACATCCGCATACTTGGACCCTACTACCCATCGAAAGGGAATTCACCCCATCATTTTCGGGCAATAACAAATTGTCCAGGGAATTGTGTGGGTCTACGTACTCTAAAGTGCAAGAGGGGATGGCGCGGCTGCAACCACATATCAACTCTCCCAGTGTGTGAGTCATGTGGTCATGGGCTGCCACAACTTCCGCCACGGTTGAGACACCCATACGAGAGCAGTGTTGCAAGCGAGAAGGGGGTTCGCCATTCAATTCGGAGACACGAGGCTCAACCTGAAAGAACCCCTGCCTCAGGGGAGTGGTGAACCATGGCACCCCCAGCCCTAGCGCTAAACCGTCCCTCGCCAGGATTTACGAACCCTGAAGACTGCCCCTACTCTCAATGCATCGGCCTGAAACAGTTGCACTTATTGTTTACCACTTGAACTGGTCCAAAAGTCAAAGTTCACAAACGGCAGCGAGTGATTCTGGCAAACCCTGCCAGTGCCGGGTCAACTTCGACAGACCTCCGGAATAGCAGCGTACCGTACAGGAATCACCGCTTGACTCGTGTACTACTTTGTGCAGACTACCGGCTTTGTTGTTTTGCCAACTTGAAGACTACATTGGCAGCTTTCTAGAAAGCGATGTATAAACCTTCTGTTTATTTAGAGGTTACTTGGGAAATCAAGGTGACCCTTTCTTGGGGGCACATCCGAGGGGGAAGACCCGGTCCTGTGGCCAAGGAGAACAGGACAAGTCTCTTCTTTGTTGGGTGGGTCCCTTTTCAAAAATTCGGCGGGGATTTATGTCCACCAACCACTTTGGAAGCAGTGCCCCATGTAAAAAAACAGAGGCAGTTCAGTTTGAAGGCCAAGGAAGAAGGGTAGCACTGGACCCAACAGCTCACCCGAGACCCAGGACACAAAAAAACAAATGCCAGGGTTGGGCGGTTGGGGTTTCCGTTGCCAAGTGGCGAGGTGCAGCTGCTGAAGGCCGTCGAGGAAGTGGTCATGGATAGCCTCGCGATGTCAGGTTGCCAACCTCAGCTCCCTGTTTTTGAGAGTTGGACCCACTAAATGGATTCTGTTTTTCCTTTGGGTTTCCCCTTTCAACCCAGAAAAAAGGGGCAGACACACCCAGGTGGATCCCCCAACCAAGTAAAACATATGCTGGGGGCATGCCAATAACGCCCCATTTCGGAGTAGCCCTGTTTCGCACCAAACCCATTTAATGCAGTTCTGACTAATTGACCACTTCAGCTGGGCTGACTAGGTTTAAGGCCTTGACATTCAGTTTGGAGATACTGTGCAACGTTAGTTCTTCCGTGAGGCTAAACATGCGTGCCCAATATAGATTGAGCTCTGCAAGAGTGGTGCAGCATGTCCGGGTTTCGAACATGGCAGTGCGCAAGCATTTTTTCGAAGCTGCTAATTAGCTCAGCTGAGCCTGAAAACTGCTTCCGGCAGGGTGAGCGCCAAAGCTTTCCACGTGTGAAAGCAGTCCCCTGCACAAACGCTGTTTGGAACGAAAAGGAAGGCCAACGCAAGTTGGCACGCTCTTCGAATCCCTATTTAGTCGGGCACTGAGGTGCCGCTTGTTGTTTTTGTACTAGCTAATGGCTCTTGCTTAGGAGTGGTTCAATTGGGCGAATTGGGTGAAAGCACACGCGTCTTTTGTTTTCGGCTGGGGCCCAATCAGCGTGCGCTGGTCGAACTGCCGTGCTCAAGGGCTGGGTTGCAAGTGGCACCTGGGCCAATATGTTGCGCTCTGCCTGGTACGCAGAACTGTCGAGAATGCAAACAGTCGAAACAGTACCGCTGAGAAATGCGATCAATTCGCCCACCTGAGCCCCCAAATAGGATTCGGACCCTCAAGGTCGTGCTGCTTCGGCTCGTGGTAAGATACATGACCATGTTCCCCCAAACAAAACCCGACAACCTAGATACCCAACTTGCGATCGCTTGTTTCAGTCACTGTTGCTGGTTGTTGGGTAAAGTGCATGGAAAAATGCAATCGCAACTGGCGATCCAGGAAGCAACACAACGCCCTGAAGCCCCGCCAACGGAACTGCCTGCGCCATGACCTCCACCGTGGTGTTCCGCGACAGGAACTCCTCCTAAAGGCGACATCGTGGGACAGATGCTCATGACAGTGACATGCTCATGGCTTGACAAAGAAATGGCTCCACCCGAAGCATCTTGGGACGGGCTTTTTGAGGTACAAAACCTTTCAATGGAGACCCTGACCCCTTCAATGGCGGGCCCAATGATGGTTCGGGCAATGCCCCATTCGATTTGTTTGGGCCCTTCCTTTATGACCCTCCGAGTCCATCCCAAGTACCGTCCAGGCTGTGAACAAACTCCTGTAGATATGAACAGGGGCCTTTCTTTTTTTCCGCGGGCCCTTCGCTGACCCCGGCAAAGCTGACAAAGAAGTGACGTCGGGCAAGCGACCCGGATCAGCGCTCCATGCGGATCCAAAGGGGTTGCTTGCCCCCAAGAGACCCCCCAGATGCATCCATCAGCTTTATACAATCCTGAGGTCTGCGTATTGCTGATTCAGAATACCCACTGCATCCCACAGCCATTCTGCTAGGAGTCCGTGTCAAAGGGTCCGTACCTCAAGGTGTTTCACCGAGGCACATTCGCGGGTCTTCAGCACAAATCCGAGCCTAACGGGAAACACATACTGCCTAAGTCCAGGAGCTTCAAAAGAACAGAAAGGAAGCCCACCACTAAGCGCGAACCCACCCACCAACAGGAATGCCCTAGGCACCCAGAAATGACTCGGTCTCTTGTGAACATGTTGACGGGGTTCTCTTTCGTCTACCGCATCAAAAACCCTTAAGGCCCAGGGGCGTATTGCCAGGGACAATGGGAACCCCGGATCTAAGCAGAAGCCCTGGTTGATTCTGATCGGGCTTGTCCCCTTTTTCCAGTGGGGGCTCAGACCCCTTTCAGAGGGAACAGACGCAACTGTTAAGGGACAGATTTCTTCTCCCGGGGTTCCCACCAGCCCCCATCCATTGCCCTTTACCCAGCCAAACCGACGAACACCGGACGAAAACTGCCGGAAAGTCCAGACGGTCGAGATTTTGGTGGTCGTAGCGCTCCATGATGCGGCGCAGCAACTTTTGTGCCGCGCAAATGTCCAGCAGCACCTGGTCTTCGGTGAGCGACCTGGCCGCATTGGGCGGTCCCTGAGGATACTACCTGGAGTCTCCACGACCCTTGAAAAATGGGCTCATTACCCAAAATAATGGGGTCATGGACCATTGTTATCCGCTTCACTTTTGTCAGCGTCGCCCAAAAGCAAGCGCTGCACAGTAGCTGATTAACAAGCATACACCTGCTATACAGCAAACTGTTCTCATGCTGATCGCCTTCTCTTAGTAGAGTGAGCATCCAGCAAGCGCTGCGCAATTGCTGCACAACCCTGATTTGCAGCAACATACAATGGCGATTATCTCCATCATATGCCTTCTCTGTGTCAGCCGGAATCCGGCAAGCGTTGCACAACTTCCAAATGGCCGCGTGCAGAAGCTGCACGTAAGCGGTGTCATCGTCCCGTGTCTGTCAACATTGGGATCACGCATACGCAACGTGTGCTGACTGTTTCTGTCGCAGCTAGCAAAAGCCACGTTGGCACATATTCTAGGTCCTCCAGTAGAGAGGTTAGAATAAGGGTACCCTTTTGGTGGGTCGTAGGGCATGCCGCCCTACTACCGGTGAAAAGTGGGCAGGAGCCCCGCACACAGACCCCCAGGAGAGACTCAACTGGGGGTGTGAAACAGCAGGCCAACCACCAGTGGAGAGGGGGTGGGACCCCCTGTCCACTGGTGGACACATCTCAAAGTCGAGGCCCGGCCCACCAGCCACCCCTGGAAGGGGTGCCTGGGGAGCGGGGCGTGCACAAAGTCCCGAAAGTAGCTGACTGTAGGCCAGGGTCACGAGGCAACCCCAGCACGCGAAGCCCAGGGCTGGAGGGCCTCCATCACGCAACCGCGCAGCGAGAATTCCCAGTCTCTGGGTACTCTGCCGAGACGGGAGGCCCGGAGTAGGACCCGCTGAAGCCACTTGTGCTCCGCATCGGTGCGCTGAAGGTAGACGCCAGGCCAAGCACCACGCGGCCAGGTGACCCCAGCATAGCGGCCAAGCCGCGGCTCCCAACAGCGGGGGAAGGCATCCGGGTTGCGCCGGGCGATGCGCCTTGAAGTGCACCAAGAGGCCACGGGCAGTGGCCGCACCGCCAGCGTACCTGACAACGCCGGGGCTGCGCCGCCAGAAGAGCAGTGCAGCCTCCAAACCAGGCTGGAAATCCCCACCGCGAGGCGGAGCTCAAGGCCTTGTTCCAGGCCCACCACTGCAGCGAACCATGAGTTCAGTCCCGCGGCTTGGCGAGGAGCTTCTCAACATGCAGCACAGATAAGCCATGGCTAGGCTCAGTTTCTACACCTAACCCTAGGGCAACGGGGGCCTCAGGGGGGGGCACCTTGGGATCAGGGGGCTCCGGGGGCGGAGGAGGAACAGGGGTGGCCGCCAAGGCAAGGAAGAGCTGCTGGAGCCAGCGATGGCGCCGGTAGGCAGAGAAGAACAAGGCAGACATGCGACAGACAGGAAGGGCAAGGGAAGCACGCGCAGCGCGCTTGGCCGCACGGTCAGCCGCATGATTACAACGCGCATGCAGGAGCTCAACCGAGCCAGGGCACTGGTTGAGAGGCAGGTGGCCCCGGATCCAGTGGAGGGTCAGAGTAAACCCGCCGCAGCATTGGGAGGGACACACCCCCTCAAGTGAAAACCATGCCAGGCGCTGACGGCAGCTTGGGAGTCGGTGTGAACAGTGAGCCGACCGCGAGCAAGCTGGGCGGCGTGCAGGATAGCGTAGACCTCAGCACGGTAGTTGTCCGCCAGGGGGCCCGGAACAGGACCAGAAGCGCACACACCAGCAGAGGCACTCACAACAGCAAAGCCGGCAGCAGCGAAGAGCAAGTGGTGGGGTAAGTAGACACTGCCATCAGTCCACAGGTGGACATCCCCGCCGCCGTACCTGGGTAGTGGGGTGGTAGCAGGCCAGGGCACGGCCCGGAGGGCGGCATGGGCAAGCTGGGCAGGTGGCGAACCAATGCGAGCGTGGAGAGCACCGCACTGCACAAGGTGTGCCAGCGTCTCATCAGCGCCATCACAGAAGCGACAGCCAGGAGATGCGGCCAGGTTGGAGGCATAAAGCCGGTCAGCCGTGGCTGCAGAGCCGACAACCACAGCAGGGGCCACCGCACGGTTGGAAGGGAAAACACGGACAAAAGAGTTCCAACCTGGGCCAGGCGGGACAAGCCACGGAGATCGAGTGAGCGCAACATCAAGGAGGCCAGACGGCCCCGAGACAATATCTGCACGCTTGCCACGGCAGGCACGCTGGTAAGCATGCTGCGCAATGGTCCACTGCAGAAGCCTCGCCAGAGAGCGAAGGGAGACACTGAACAGGGACATCCATGGTCCCGAAGCAAGAGCGACATCTGCAGGAGCCCGAAAGCGCAAGCCACACAGAGTGACCGCGGCGATCACATTGGAAACCAGCGTGGAAGGCATAATCCTGGGATTAGTAAAGGCGATGCGCCACTGGATGGCGAACTTCTCCGAGCGCTGGAGGTGGGAGGCCACATTGAGTACGGCGCGATACGCCATGGCGTACTCAGGGTGCACCAGATGACCCCGGTGGACGACAGCAAGGAGCAACTCACGGGAACGCCAGCCCCGGGGAGAGCAGCCTGGAGCTGCAAGGCAGGCGACTCATGAGTAGTCCACCATCCAGACTTGTGGAGGTTGAAAAGCTGGCCCTGAGAGGCCGTCAAAAAGGGACGTAGCCCTGACCGCCTGCACAAGGGAGGGAATGGCATCGGGCGAGGAGACAGACATGTAGCCGTCATCAACATAGACCCGGGGTTCAACCCCCGGGAAGTGCCTGATGAGAAGAGCCCAAGCCGCCATCAAGACATTCGCTGCCAGGACCGAGAGAGAACAGCCCTGAGCGATGCCATTGCAGTTGGCCAAGGGGGTAGGGTGGATGGCTCCCCGCCAGGAGAGATAGCGCCTGAAGTCGCAGTAGTTGGAACGCCAAGCATTGGCCACAGAGGTTGGGAAGCCCAAAGCCGCAAGGAGAGCAACAGTGTGGCTGGGGAGCAGGCGGTCGAAGCACTTGGAGCGGTCGATCTGGATGCCTGCAAAGACCTCATTGGTCGCCTTGGCCTCATGAAGATCAAGAGCAAGGTGGTGGGTGATGTCATCAACCCGGCGGCACAGACTTCTAGCCGAAGACCATGCAAGGTAAGAGATGGGAAGGACAGCGATGAGGCGTTTGGAGAGGGGGCTGGGGCCCGCTCCTTTGTCAAGCACCGCCAGTCTGGCCGTGCCAAAGATACGGGGCATGGCCCATACACCCGCCTCAACCTTGTTGAAGAGTGTGGCAAGGACCTGCAGCACCCGAAGCGGGAGAGCCTGGAGCTCCCGTGCGGACCAACCATCAAGGCCAGCAGAGGAGTCCACACTCCGAGCACAGATGGAGCGAGCCAGATCCTCCGGCGTGACTGCCGAGAGGTCAAGGGGCGTAGCCCGTTGCTCGAGCAGGTGTTGAATAGGCCTCATGAGAGGCTCGACCGGAATGCCATCAGCGTGGACAGCAAAGACAGTGTTCCACTGCTGGGCGGCATGCTCAAGTGCATCCGCAGGATGGTAGGCAGGCAGGCCATCCTGCCCGGCAAGGAGGTTGGGGGAGGACGTGGTTGCCGCCCTGGCGAGGTGTTGAAACACAGCCTTCCCAGTATGCAGGGCGGAGTGACGGAGGCGCTCCTTCCACCTGCGGTAGGAGGCGCGCTGCCTTTGACGAGTGACTTCCTGGAGGCGGCACTCAATTCTCTCGCAGAGAGGAGCAGAGGCGCGAGGTGTGAGATTCTCAGATTTCAAGACAAATCGAAGGTCGCGCACAAGCCGGCGGAACCGCCGGATGGTGGCACACGTGACAGCCGCATCAGGCACCGTGGTGACCGGCAGACGAGCCAGGCGGTAGAAGAGCTCCCGTGCAAGAGACAGGAGACGTGTGTGAAGGGTGATGGGGTGCGAAGGGGGCAGGGCCGCCTCGGGGGCGGACAGGGGGCAGGGTTCCACGAGTGCGATCCCCCTGCCCCACTTGGCCCCAGAGTCGACCAACACACGAAGTGCAAAGTCAGAGAAGAGGGCCCAGGCCTGCTCCGAGCTGCTAGCCTCAGTGAGATCGCGACTGTAGCTTTGCTGCCACAGATCTTCCGCGCATTGAGTTATCTGGGCAGGAGGAGCCAGGCGGTCAAGTCCAGAGGGGCAAAGGACGCAAAGGCGACAGCACGAGGGGTCTCAGTGGGAGCAGAGAAAGTAAGCGAGACTGAGGCGTGCTGGTAGCCACAGAGCGGAGTAACGCAGGCCTGTTCCAAGAGATGGAGCGCATGCTCACTGAGAAGAACCGTGTCAATAGCGGTAGTAGGGACCTCAGGGCTCCAATGCTTATCGCGGCAGAAGGTAGGGGCACGGGTGCCGTCACAGTCCAGAGGGGCTAGTGGGTCGACCCAAGCCCCCGTGCTGCAAGCGTCCGCAAGCGAAGCATAGGACAGAGGGTCCGCTTGGAAGTCGCCGGCGAAAACAACAGGGAAGTCCTGGACGAATTGGGCAGCGAAGTCCAGTATCCTGGTGAGAAGCTCATCATTGTGCTGGTGAGTGGGCTCATCAGAGGAGGCCCCAGAAGGCGCCGAGCACGTGGGGTAGCATGCAAATCAGGCGGCAGGCCAGGAGAGAAGAGGGAACACTCCCAGGTGGAATCACCAGTTTGGGCATCGACCCGGAACTGAAGCAAGGCCTGCCCATGCCACATGAGAGGCTCGGCACTCTGGAAGAAAGTGCCCTGTTCGATCAGGCCATCGAGGGAGCCAAGGGCGCGGTCCGACAAGGAGCCCAGAGCACGCAAGACAAGAGGGTCACGCGTCAACATGGCAAGGAGCCAAAAGCCACACCGCAGAAGCCCAAGCACGCACAAGAGCCAGGAAGGCAAAGGGGCAGGGGCAGCGGGGTGGCGGCCACAGGAGCAAAGGCGGGGCGGCGGCGTGACGCTCCAGGGAGGAGTCGCCACGCCCCGGGTGCCCAGAACCCTGAGGCGAAAGACCTTGGAGCCAGACGCCTATAAGGGTACCCTTTTTTCTGTAGTCTATTTTAGTAGGCTAACCCTCCCCAAAAAAGGGTAAAAGGGCACTACTGGTGGACCTAGTATTGCCGCTTAGCCCTCAGGCAGTCAGCATCGGACTCTCTGGCCCCAACAGGCACATGCCACTGGCAAGCGTGAGCAGCCTGAAATTCCGCAAGGACAATCCTTGCTTGGCCGGTGAAGGGAGAACACACCGTGGATCTTCCATGAAACGGAGAAGCCGGCTACCAATGGAAATGGAGAAAGATGACAGCATCAATCAGTCCCAGAACAGAGGACAATGGTGCAATTGTGTATTCGTAGCTGGGAATCTCTTGGCCAAATGGCGTCGTACCGCTTCGTAACAGTCCCCATCTTCATTGCGCGCATCTCCTCCCGCCACAGGGAATACTCCGAGGAGTAGACGGCACAGATGTGATGACGGCAGAGGACCTCTGTCGTCATCACCTCTGTGCCATCTAGCAAGCGAACGCACGCCATGTTCGAATCCTGCGCTCGAGCCGAATGCACCTCATGCGTCGCATGCAAAGCGAGCCCGGCAAGGCCAGCCTAAGAAGGCCATCCAGCGGAGCACAATTCTTCATTTGCTCACGTGCCCCCGAGCTCCGGAAAAAACAAATATATGCATTACTATTTTTGAAATATTTCGTCATTTTCCAGAGGTGATTTTCTGTTGAAACCAACAAGAGGTCATTTTTTGAAAGCACATGGTTTGGTAGCAGTCAAAAAGAAGACGTGGCCTTGGCATGTATTGATTTGGGCCCCCCTTTGCTAATCAACTAATCAACTATAATGACACATGTTTGTAGATACTTGAGTGACAATCAGACAACATATCCGAGAGGAACAAGGGGGGGGGAAAGACGGGGTGGCCCAAATGGATCGACTCCAAAGGCCCTCAGGTTTTCCCTCGCGCTCGCTTGGCGTCGACTCGACGGCCTGCCGAAGATCTTCACCTCGACCACAGCGGTGCAGCCCGTGGTGAAGGGCTCCACGCCACCTGCGAGCGAACGGCCGGAGGAGTCCCGGAGGCCCCATGAAACTCTGCCCAGTAAATGTCCATGGCAAAAGGGCATCCGTTTTTTATGTCTTTTTATGCCTTTTTGTTGGTCGCCACTAAACAGAGTAAAAGAATCGCCCAATTTGGGACTCAATTTGGACGATCCTCCGTAAATTGTGGATGGGTTAAGCCAATTGCTTTAATGGTGGTTTGACTCAGGGCCATGCTTGTTGGAATTGCTTTCAACGAGGGAAATGGGGATTCTCTGATTTTCAACAGGTCTTTGAGGCTTTCAGCAGGCACCTTTGGCGAGGATTCTGCTTATGCTAGGGCCAGACAGTTGCTAGGCGCTGACGTGTGGAGGAATGCCGCTGTTTGTCAAGGGGAGCTAGGCTGGACTTTGCGGGCTCGGGAGAGGGTTGTGCTTGAAGTTGCCCTGGATCGGGCGAGCCTGTGGCAGCAAGGTTTGCGCACACTCGCCGGACAAATTTCTTTCGGGCCCAGTCTTCACTTGCTCAGTCTTGGGTCTCCAAGTCTGCAGAGCTTCTGCGTGTGTAGGGTGTGGCTGACTGGCCAAACTGGGCACTGAGGGGAGATAAGGGGTCATACAAGGCTTTTGTGAAGGACATTTTGACTGCTTCTTATCTCGCTCGGTGGAAGAGTGATGCTGCTGGGCACCTGACGCCCTTGCCTTACACTTCCATTTCAATTGCTCCTTGCACACACTTAGCCGAAGCTTTGCGGACACGGGTGTCTTGGAAAGCGCTGGTGGCGCAGAGATGCGTGATGCAGCTGCGGTGCGGGTACATTCAGCTTGGGCATGTGAACGGGAAACCGTCCAAGGCTTTGGTGAAGTGGTGCATCTTTTGCCAGAGATGTTATTCCAGTATCACTACTCATGTAGTTTGCTCTTGCCCTGGTTTTCGTGATGCGCGGGAGGACTGTATCTTGGCCGGGCTGTTCCTCACAGTTTCCCCGCATCATCTGGGCTTCGAGGCTATCACCAGGCTGGCGCAGGAGATTTGTAGCAGAGCAGACACCTTCCGGCGAATCACTTGACTTCACAGCTGGTGGTGGGCGCTAGGGGGGCGCAGCGCAGTCACTGCGGTGCTGCGCTGCTGACCCTGCGCTGCGGACCCCGCCGCACTACATCACATTGTAGTGAAAGCTGCTGCTTTGCTTTGTCCGCGAGCTTGTCTTGCGGGACTGTAAACCAACCAACCAACTGTCCAAGAAATGTATCTATACTGAAAGGGATGTTTTGGGGTCCGGGATGTCTTGTGGTCCCCAGATAGGTGAACTCCGTACTTGGGGGGGGGTTGCGCAAGTTTGAACTTTCATCCAGTTGGTAAGCATGGCGGAGATTTGGTCCCTCCACTTAGGAACCAGACATCAGCTTCCCTGTTCTTGGCGGTTTGGACTGGTGGTTAGGGAGGGGTTGCTCACTTCTGCTCTACAACAAACACCAGGTGAAACAGGGCTGGAAATCCCGAAAACACCAATCCACACTACCAATTCAGGGGAACCTGAAGTCACGTGAAAGCTAAAGCCGGCCGTTGATTCGCGCGCAAAAAAGAGCATCCTCCCGGCTTACACCTGGACAATTCCCAATGTCCGATGGAGTGGATTGGCCAAACAACACCATCGAATAAAACGATTTTTGGGTGGCCAACAAACTGCTTATACACCGCCAAACTGGCCACCAAAGCCCAACAAGTGACTCACTCGTCCCATTTTTCACAGAACTGGATCCACGCGCCGATGTCCGGAAGGTGACTTTCTCAAAACAGGGGAGAAGCAACTGAAAGGCGCAGAGGGGAACCGATCGCCTAGGAACTTTGGAATGGAGCAATGGAGATTATATAAGTTACCCTCCACTCCAAGAATCTTTGATTGGTCACCCTCTACCAGGTTATAATTTCCCCTCCACTAGTCTTTCTTTCAATCGAGTTCTTGGAGGGTTCTCAAATCGAGTTGCCATGTCCAGGTAAGGTTTTGGAGGTTATCTCGGTTGCTTGCTGCTCCCCTGCTAAAGTTTATCTTGTAGTGGGTTGATGGAAAACCTATAAGTCAAGGCAAACAGTTAAAGTCCTAACATCCCACGACAAAATGCAACAAAATGGGTCAATGACCCCATTATCTTGCGGAATGACAACATTTTTCAAGGGTCATGGAGACTCCAGGAAAACAACTTCCCTTCGGCCGAGAGCAGTTTGTCTGCGAGCCGCGGAAGTGAAAGGTGTGGGAGTACATGCACCGGTCCTGGACGCCGATGCAGAAGCAGGTACGCACCTAAGCAAAACGGGCCATGAGGAGGGGGATGTGGGGGAACCAACCTTCACGGGGTCAACCCAAAAATGAAAAGTGGGTGGTTGCCCCAAAGAGGCGGGGGAACGGGGGAACCAACAAGGGGATAGCCCCAACAAATGGGGCGGAACCCTCAAAATGTCGATCAAAAACCGTAGCAACTGTTCATGCGAAGAAGAAAAACCGGCGTAACCAGGGTCGGGCCAACCCCTTGTTTCAACAGCCTGGTCTTGGATTCCCTTCAAAGGGGACCAGCCCGTACATGTTTTGCCCAACTCAGGGGGACATGTCCCAGTGGATCCATTTATCTGGTTGTGCAACCAAGAGAGCCACGCTTTGAACACTGAAAGAGTAATGGCCGGTTGGCTATTGTAGGGGATCCGCTTGGTTTGTGGACGCTTGCTGCCCCTTGTGATACCTTTGGTACCGTTTGGCTGTTTCGTGCGAGCTTATCGATATGGGGGGATCCTCAGGTTGATCTTTCCGACTCGAAAGGTTGACCAACAAAACTCGTGTTGGTGCGTAAAATTGTTGGTTCCCCACATGACAACTCTGTGTATAAAAGACTGGCTTCTTGGAGCTCGTACGCTTCCGTGTTTGTTGAGAGGGTAGCCACCCAATTGTTTGAACTACCAGTCTCAAACATGCCCAACAGAACCTTCAAAACACCGAAACATATTAAAGGCAATATAGGTGTGGATCAAACATATAGGCATTCAAAAAGAAACCCTGACAAAGGAAACCATGGACGAAAACCGGCGGTCTGGTAGTTTAACCTTGACCCGTAATCATACAGCAATACCCCCAAAAAAGGGGCAAGGACTCAGGTACTTGTGAAATGGGCTTGAGCTCGAAGAAGCTGCAAGCCATTCGGGTGCAACCCAGCAAAACTAGCTAAACAATGGTGGCATTTAGACCAACTGGTATCCTATCAACATTGGACCATTCTCTAACAATAGACCATTTGCTGGAGGGAGGGAAATCATTTTCGAACACCGATTTTGGATCATTTTCGAACACCGATGTCCTGGATCATTTTCGAACACAGAGTGGGTCATTTTCGACCACATGAAGGGGCTATCCTGCGGCACCCGTGGGGTTGGGGGGGGGGTGGGGTGGGGCAGTTACGTTCGCCTCTTACTGCGTGACCGTGCCACTGCGCCCTGGGGGTGGGAGTGGGGGTGGGGTGGGGCAGTTACGTTCGCCTCTTACTGCGTGACCGTGCCACTGCGTCCTGGGGGTGGGGGTGGGGGTGGGGTGGGGCAGTTACGTTCGCCTCTTACTGCGTGACCATGCGACTGCATCCTGGGGCTGGGGAAGGGGGTAATTGACTGCGTGACGGTGGAACTGCGTATTGGGGCTGTGGGGCAGTTACGTTCGGCTTCTTGCTGCGTGACCGTGCGACTGCGCCCTGGGGCTGGGGGGGGGGGGGGGATGGGGTGGGGCAGTTACGTTCGCCTCTTACTGCGTGACCGTGCCACTGCGCCCTGGGGGTGGGGGTGGGGGTGGGGTGGGGCAGTTACGTTCGCCTCTTACTGCGTGACCATGCGACTGCATCCTGGGGCTGGGGAAGGGGGTGCTTGACTGCACGACGGTGGAACTGCGTATTGGGGCTGGGGGGGAGGGGCGGGGTGGGGCAGTTACGTTCGCTTCTTGCTGCAAGACCGTGCGGCTGGGGGGGGGGGGTGGACACGGGGTGGGGCAGTTACGTTCGCCTCTTACTGCGTGACCGTGCGACTGCGCGCTGGTGGTGATGGTGGTGTTGTTGGCAGTGATGATGACGATGTTGATGATGATGGTCATGATCATGATGATGATGATGATGATGACGATTATGATGATGATGATGATGGTGATGATGATAATGGTGATGATGATGGTGATGATGATGATGGTGATGATGGTGATTTTGACGGTGTTAATGATGATGATATAGATGTTGGTGGCGATGTTGATGATGTTGATGATGGTGATGATGATGTTGGTGTTGATGTTGATGATGGTGATGTTGTTGGTAGTGATGATGACATGTTGTTGATGATGGTAATGATGATGATGATGGTGATGATGATGGTGATGATGATGATGGTGATGATGGTGATGTTGACGGTGTTGTTGATGATGATATAGATGTTGGTGGTGATGTTGATGATGTTGATGATGGTGATGATGGTGATGATGATGTTGGTGTTGATGTTGATGATGGTGATGTTGTTGGTAGTGATGATGACGATGTTGATGATGATGGTAATGATGATGATGATGATGATGATGATGATGATTTTGTTGCCGATGTTGATGATGATGTTGATGATGATGATGATGTGGCTTTGCGTTCCTTGTGCTTTGTGTTCCCGGGTCTACAGTTGACGATCGTCTCCCAAAAGCACGGCGCCATCCATGTGCTACACGTGCATCGTGGTGCGTGTTCGTGCGCCTCATCGTGGTGTGCATGGACACTTGGAAAAATGGCCGTGCTGATGTAAATCACATACACTTGAGCAAAACCGCGTTCAACAACGAGCCAAAACACGCGTTCAAAAACGACCACCTTTCCTTTGCTGGACCCAAATTCGGTGTTGAGACTTAGGTAGATGGCTTCGAATATTTCACCACTTTAGGATTTGCCTGAGACATTCACCGAAAGTTGGGTTGCTCAAAATCTCAAAATAACTGTGAATCCCAATGTTTCGAAATGGGCGGATAGAACCCTTGCCAAATCACAACACGAAACCGACTTAAATATGGCTCAAAAGGTGGGTGATGATTCAACCACCCAAAAAAGGGAGCTCCTCGCTTTTGGCGTGGATTGTTTCCACCACATATGGGGGTTTCTCGAAAAGGCGCACCCCATGTTGGATGGTTTCCAAGTGAAACGAAAAGGACACAACCCATTTTGGGGGGTCCACCATACACGGGGCTGTTTCCCCTATGTTCGAGTCTGCACATATAAGGTCGCTATATATTTGCAAATATACATATATATATATATATATGCATATCTATACACATCATTTCTCAACCGCCAACCCATAGGTTGGATCCTCCTATAGGTCCTCCAGATTTGAGAGGTTGGAAGGGTACCCGATTTTTTCTGCAGCCTATTTTAGGGGGGAACCCTCCCCGACAAAAAGAAACGGTGAGAAAGGGCACCTGGCTGGGGGACCTCGTATAGACCCTTCACATCCCAAAAAATAAACCACCCCAGGCGCACCTGCGTCGGAAGCTCGTCTACCCGCAGGCCGCGCAGACCTGCGCAAGCCAAAACAAGAGGTGCCCCCCAGAAACGGCATGGAAAACAGGAGTCCAAAAACCTAAAAGAGGTGCATAGCCCCTGCTTTCCCTGAAAACCACCTTTTATGCCTTCTTTCCCAATGGAAGCTGACAGGGTGTAAGACTAGCTTACAGCGCTTGAAGAAAGGGGGTTCAGCCTAGATAGCCACGTTGCGATCGCTTTTTCAGTCACTGTTGCTGGTTTTTGGGGTAAAGCGGATGGAAACAAGCAGCAACTGGCGATCCAGGAGTTGCATGGTTGGACAAAGAACATTCATTCTGTATGGTATCTCCCTTGAGACGCCATTCCCGAAGCCCTTCCGTCACTGTAGCGGAAGCGGCCCCTCCTGCGGAGCATCCCTGTTTGGGATTCTTCCGTTGATTGACATTGCCTCGAAACCGGTTTCGGCATCCTTGGCCGTTTGCCCAGTTCCCGGCCCCAAACGGAACCCTGGGCAACTGGGTGCCTTGCCAAGACTTATCCTGGAAAACAAAAACAAAAAAGGCAAACAGCCAAGCTCCAAACGATGAAACGCGAAATCACATGACATACACTTAGCCCAGTGATGTTTCAACGCGGGGTCTCACAGGTTTCTTGCAATCCTGAACACAAAGGTTGATTGGTCAAGAAATGCATAGAACACCTGAAGGAACTTTCGGGTTAAGTCTACATTTGGTTGCGCTGAAGACTGTGTGCAATTGTGGGTCCTGATTTTCGGCTGCCAGGGCAGTGGTGTCCCATTTACAAAAGCCAGGGGTCCAATCCCGACCAATTCAGGGGCACTTGAGTTTGTATGACGACTTGTTGCCTGAGGGTTCCCTGGAAAAAGTGGTTGGTTGACATGGGCACTCCAAATGGCTCTTGTCCTTACTATTACCCACAAGCAGGGATCGTCCAAAGGCCACGAAAAGAAGCCTTCCATAGTCTGCTGTAGCTGCAATGTTCAAAGTAATCCCATGGTACTGGCAGCCAGTTATCCTTCATGTCCCAATGAAACTCGCTACATGAAGTTAAAGCATGTTTCACGTACCCAGCCAGTAATGAAAATCGTTACATGAGATGGCCACCATCCATCAGTTTTTCCCGCTTTCGGGGCGTTGCCAACCTGACGGGTCAGGTTCCGATTTTGAGAAAAACGAGTTAGTCAAGGGAACCCCAAAACGGCAACGGCTTCCTTTGGGTTTCCATTGCAAAGCCAAGGGTGCCGCGGCTCACAAAACAGACACAGCCCTTAAGAGTACGTGGGGGTTGATCGATATGCCATGGAAGGCCCCCAAATGGTGGGGAACTCTTGCTGGTTTCCTCCAATGGTAATCCCGTGTGAAGTACCTTTGATCAACCCGCACATACAGTTGGGACATACAGTAGGAAGGAATCTGCCACACACCTCACTTTGAACCTCTCTCCCGCGCACCTGCGAATCCCAGCTTTCGCATCGCCATGGCGCCGAAATCGAAAACGAGAAGACTCTTGGGGCACTCGGCCTCTATGGTGGAAAACTCTAGCTCATACTTGCACTGGGCATGTTCGAGAATTGGCTTGTCAGAGTGATGGTCTTCAGAGGTGGACAAGTGTGAAAGCTCCTGGCTTCTGTTTTCCTTTCAAACCCGCTCCGCAAAACATCTCTGGGAAATGTCACACAGTCCCTGGCACCTTAAATCCATCCGCCTGGGTTGCCGGCAACCAACAAAAAACAAGACTATTGATCCTGGGCCATATTTAGTGAAGCTACACATGCTGAATGATTTCAAAACAGATCTATCATCAGAGTTTCGCGCATGCGGCATGGATGGGACTGGGATTTGAGCCTGCCACCCCCGGGCTCAAATCGATCCCGGTGTGCCAGCAAACTTTGTGTCGAATGGAGGGGAGGCCCCAGCTTATTGTGGCTTCCTTGACAATTCGGGCAAGGGAGTCTGCCTGTCGCGTCGTTCCCTTGCAGGGGACCTCCAACATGGGTGTGGTCAATCTGGATTCCTGAATCCGCAAAAAGGATACACTAAAAAAAAACACCCAAATAATGTTATAACTCGATTAGTAAAGGGTACCGGAATAATAGAAAGTTGTTTTCCTTATTATGGTTCACACCCATTGTTTAAGGGTACCAGAATAATAGAAAGTTTTTTTGGGCAGGGGGAAACTTCCAAAAAAAAATCCACAAAGCAAATTTATGTAAAAAAAAACATCCCCCCCCAAACAATCACCCAAAATCCATGTTGACCCCAAAATCCAGCCAGCTGAAACTCAGAAATTTGAAAACCATCCCCAGCCCTGAAACTGCAAACTCTTTATTAAACCGTGCTAAAAAATTGCCGAAAAACAATCAGGACAAGGGTACCCCTCACAGACCCCACTGAACCACAATAATGTGATTGTTTAAGGGGACCAGAATAATAGAAAGTTTTTTTGGCCAGGGGGAAAATTCAAAAACAAAAACTCCACAAAGCAAATTTAATTAAAAAAAACCATCCCCCCCCCAAACTCTGAATCTCCTTCAGCAACAAGCTGAAGATTGTGTACCTCAGAAATTTGAAAACCATCCCCAGCCCTGAAACTGCAAACTCTTTATTAAACCGTGCTAAACAAAATGCAAAAAAAACTATCAGGACAAGGGTACCCCTCACAGACCCCACTGAACCACAATAATGTGATTGTTTAAGGGGACCAGAACAATAGAAAGTTTTTTTGGCCAGGGGGAAAATTCAAAAAAAAAACAACACCACAAAGCAAATTTAATTAAAAAAACCATTCCCCCCCCCCAAACTCTGAATCTCCTTCAGCAACAAGCTGAAGATTGTGTACCTCAGAAACGTTGAAAACCATCCCCAGCCCTGAAACTGCAAACTCCTTTGAATGGCTACAGAAAGAACAGAAAGAACTGAAAGGGAAGTGGTTGCAATACTAAAGTAGTATTCCAAAAAGTATGCTCAGGAAGAAGTGGTTGCAATACTAAAGTAGTATTCCAAAAAGTATGCTCAGGAAGAAGTGGTTGCAATACTAAAGTAGTATTGCAAAAAAGAAGTGGCTGCAATACTAAAGGAAGTGGCTGCAATACTAAAGTAGAATTGCAAAAAGGAAGTGGCTGCAATACTAAAGTAGAATTGGGCCCCAAAACCCTCCATTGTTTGGACGTCCCAAAAGTGCACCCCCATTATTTTGGCGCCTCCATTGTTCAGGGGGGGGGGGGGCCCTTTTTTAATCAAGTTCCAACATTAACGGAGTCACCAGCAAATGGGTAGTTTCTGGACCCCAGGGTTGACAAGCAGCGCGGTTTCATAGCATGAGCTTACTCCAGCAGGAAGATGCTGCATGTTTTGTCAATTAGGGACCCTGTGGACATCAACGCGTCATGTCCACGACTTTTGAGGCGGGCCATGGAAACTCGAGAGCTCAGGAAGTGCCAGGCGCTCCAAAAGGGAAACCTGGGCCTGACTTCCGATCGATCCAAAATTCTCGTCCACGGTCTTCAATCCCGATCTACGTCCAGAAGCCGGGGATCTGAGAAACATGTGAAGCCGGAACAAGTTGACCCTCTAATCCCCAAGTACTGGTCGGGTTTCGTGGCTTCACGAGCTTGTGGCGCTTGGGTTTGTCTTAAACGGGACCCCCGAGATTGGTGATATTCCCTCTAGTTAGTTTCCGTTTAAACCAACCCGAACGAGGCTCCCCTATGGAAAAAAGACACACATTTGGAGGATCCATGTTTTAAAATTGATTGGGCCCATCCAAGTGGTGGCCTAAATCTCTTGCCCTCTAAAACCATCAAGGGGTTCGCAGTCTGCCAGTGAGACGCACTCAGGTGAGGCATGCTCAGCAATGTAGAACATGAAGACGCCTGTTTACTTGCCATCCAGGGGCTCAATGACATAGTCCAAATGGCGCTGAAAAAAACCAAGGAGCCACTACATCATCGGTACATAAAGGTATATAGCCAAAACACACCAGCGCGATGTCACGGTGGATTCCCTAAGCGTTTCAAATAGACCGACAAATAACAATGGTAGAGCACAGGACTTCAAGTTCTTCCCACTTGCCACGGGGATGGTTGCCGTTTGACGGTTGCCGGCCTGTTGCATACGAGCACAGCATCACAAAGGCCTCCTGGCAACTGCGAACGGCAGGGGGCGCACCCAATGTGAACGGGACCCTGCCTTTCGACCCCCCACCTGTTGGGGTACAGCCAAAAGGTCAAAAGGCGAACACTGGGGTCATAGTTTTGACTGTTTCTCTGGGTTATCAAAGTCAGAAGCTCTTTGTTGGTCTCCCTTTAAACTACCACTGAACGGCGGTGACTTTGATATAATGGGACCACTAACAACAAGTTGGGTTTGGCAAAGCAGGCCCCCCCAAATATTGACTCCGGTTTTTGAAATGGGACCACAAGGGTACTCGCCCATGCTCAGAGGTCGGCAATCAACAAGCGCGAAGAGAACACCACACCATATACCCGAAACATGATTGAGGAGAAAGCGAACACGGCACCCAGCTGAAACAATGAAGCCAGAAGACGGGCGTTTCCCAGATCCCCGGCTGAAAGTTGTTTTTCCTTGTTTTTACTTTTAGTGGCTTAGTGGGCAAACTACCACTAATACCAATCGATTGAGAGGATCCCCTGTGAAACCATTTTTGGTTGGGATGTTCTCCCTGGTTCCAGTGCGGTGAAGTTGAGAGGGCTATGGGGCCTCTCTAATTTCAACCACCTGGACCTGGTCACTGTCTGATGGTTCCAAGTTCATTCCGGGTAATGGCATGTTCTGACTGTGGCTGTGTTTCCGTGGCACAAATTATTTGAGAGACCAGCCGCAAGGAGACCTGAAAGGATTGCCAGATCACAACCGCCCAACCACTGCTAAACGGGGAAACCTAGTTGGAGAGAATGAACGTGCCCATACAACGGTTGATATACTCTACTTTTCCTTGGGTCTTGGTGGTTTCAGTGGATACCATCTCAGATCTTTGAAACGTACTTTGAAACTTTGGCAAAGCAACACCGCCTTGGTATTTGAGAGTCCTACCAACCCAACATGTTGACACCACACTTGATCGAAGAGACCTGACTGGTCGTACTCTCCGAAAAAGGGCCGCCTTACACCGATTCCTTTCGATCCAGTTCAAAAGTCACATCTTGGACCAGCTTCATGTGAATCGCTCTTTTGGTGGCAGGATTTCGGAAGGGAAAGAGGAGCGCTCTTGCAGGTCAACGGCTGAAACATCTTTTGAGCATGTCTCTCAAGTGGCTGGTCTGATTCATGCCAGCCGACGTGTCCCCCAACAGGGCTTTCACTGCACACACACATGCCAGCTTCCCTCTCATTATCAGTATTATTGTTTGTTTAGAGCATGCTGGTTTGGAGGTTAGGGATAATTTCCCATTTGCCCTCTACAAAAGCGACAAAAGCGAGTGGTTCGATCCCCGAACCACCAGTCCACACCACAAATTTGGGGCATGGTTTTTTTCAACATAGGGGGACACGCAAAATTGGTGGTTCCCCTTTTTGTTCCCCGTTAGCACCACACAAAAAAAAAGAAAAAGAAGATACCCTCAAAAACAACAATGCTCACATACCGGTCTAAAGGCTGAATTTGAAAGCAAACAGCGCCAATGCTCAGCGCGAGCGGGCCAAGTTGATGGCATCCTTTCGTAGTGTCCAGCTTGAAGGAAAGCCGCAGATATTCGCGGGAACGGGAAATTCAACCCAGAGGCAAGCAAACAAAGTTTGGACAAGGAGCCAGGGGCATAAGGGACAAGTTGTGCATATCTCCAAAGAAACCAACCCTCCAAGAGTTTGTTTCATACATGTTTCAACATATTAGCCTAAAAAGGACAGCCATGGTTCAAACCTATTGAGCGCCTGTTTCACCCGCTGAATGTTGGCTCTAGCAACATGTTTATAAAGGTGGATACGGGCCGTACATAGCACCAGTTAGTAGAACTATCTACCACAGCGGCCATTGTGGGTGTGGTTCACGTCTACCCCGTGTCGGTCCTCGCCCCGCTGAATTCTCACTGGAGCGCAGGCAAATGAGCCGAGATGGGTTGGCGAGGGTACGGGCGTACTGCGCCAAATGGGTTATACCCGGGGCGGGGTGAACTCACGGCTTTCGGGGCGAACATGGCTGATCTTTTGGTGACACAAACGTGGGGGTCACATTGGGCACTCACGTATGCTCTGCTAGTCACTGCTAGTCACTGCTAGTCATGTCTTTCTTTGCGGTTTCAGAAGGGAAGCTGAAGGAAAATCATGTGGGTGGTTCATCTTTGTTAGCGGACCCCCCTAGAATGGTGGCTTTCCCTTTCTGTTCCTCTTAAAACCACCCAAAAAGGGGTACCTTCAAAGAACTACAGGAAAATTGCCCACGTCAGAGGGATGTTGGAATCCCCACACAGGGGTTCCCCACTAGACTCCGTTCCGTCTTGCTGGGGCCCCATTCTCAAGCGCCAATAACCAATAAATAATAAACATGTGAGGTGCCCAAAACAGTAGGGCCTCAAAGGCCCCTGAACCTGCAAAGAACCAATGGGGAAATGTATCCAATCTGAAGACAGGGTTGATTTCATAAGTCTCCTCCTCATACAGTGCACGTGCACTGGACACATCAAGGGCTTGAACCATGCAGCTTTTCAACTGGGTGATCCCGGCGCATTGCTGGATATAATTTCCGCAAATAACCGCTAAAACATAATCCGCTTAGCAGATCTTGGACTATAACAAAAATCCCTGATCCCTTAACAGCTTACTTTTCAGCAGGGGGTCAGGGGTGTCCAAGTGAAAGGGCAATCCGAGTGAACGCTTCATTTGGGTAACTCGCTTTTCAGGGGAGGCAGTCGCCGTCCTTCCTGTGTTTGGATCAATGACTGGACCTGGCTCTGCCCCTGTTTTCTGGGGTGTGGCGACAGTGAGATGAGGTTCTGTGCCACAACCACTCAGAGAAATTCCATGAGCCACGGAAAAAGGACAATGGCGGCCCCCCAGGAAGGAAGGAAGGAAGGAAGGAAGGAAGGAAGGAAGGAAGGAAGGAAGGAAGGAAGGAAGGAAGGAAGGAAGGAAGGAAAACATAAGTCAGCCGAAAGTGTTCCTGGGAACAAGCTGACATGTCACCAAGCTATGCAAATCCCAAGACCCCCTCCCAACCGTCCAAATATTTGGCCATAAGGCGGTCATTGGGGTGGTAAGGGCGCTGAAACTTACTGGGCAACCTGGTAAAACCTTCCCAACAGCCGAATCTTGGGGATTCTCAAAATAGAGGACCGCCATTGTCACAATTCGAAGGGAAGCCAAAATGGCATCCATCTTCGGTGCTTTCCTATTTTGACAAACAGCCAAATACCAACCCTGCTTCAAATACTGGCAGTGAGTTCTCGCGCTTGTTTCATTCATGGGTACTGACCTCCTGTTCCACTCAAAATGAGGATGTCCTACTTGATTCATGTCTGGACTGGCAAGCAAACCGGGTTGAACTTGTTGTTTGCCACAACAAAGACCTTCCAATGTATATGGGTTGCTTAGACTGATCCCCTGTGCCCATAGAGGGGAAACCCGTGCCATGTTCAAAAACTGCGGATACATGTTGCCTCGGTCCTCTTTCAGCAGTTCCAGAGCTGGCCCTCCAATAGTCACCAGTACTTAGGTTCCAATGAACTATGACTCCGTCACTACTACGGACTATGAATCCAATGGATGGCCCTCTGAGGTCACCATTCACTATTACTCAGTCGCCCAGTTTGGACCTATAAATAAAAGGTGATTACCTTGTGTGGCCATGACTAAAACTGGACCAACATGGGAAAATCCACAGGGAAAAAGGTTGAGACTAGGTTGCATTGGCTCCCCTTGCTCTGGCTCTGCACATGACTTCAGCCGTCCATTTTTCGCCCAGCCGAATCTCCCAGGGCGCGCCCGGAGGGATGTCGAAGCTGGGCTGATGAACCGACACCTTCAAGCGGAAAGGGTCCCACCTCTGGCTGCTTCTGGGTTTAAATCTTTCTCATGTTTCCCCTAAAATGGCGACTAAATAAGGGTCCACCAATTTGTGAAACTCCCAAAGAACAGGGTGTCCCTGATTTGGGCATCAGAAAGCCTCATCTGTTGGCGCTTCGTCTTTCTTTGAGGAACCTTCGCATGTGAAAGGGAAACAACATGGGGTGGCTCGTACCCCAACAAGAACATGGGTTTTCCTTTTAGTTGTCCGGAAAAAAGAAAAGAAAAAAGAAAGGGGTACCCTCAAGAAAAGGCACACCCATGGACACCAACTGTCCGGGAGGCGTCCCTGCATTTCAGACATGTCTGTTCTCAAAGGCTGACGGTATGCGTCCATGTATAAATGCATGCCTATCCTTTTTCACCCCCTTCGGGGACGGGTTTTCCAAAATCAGCAATTGTTTTGCGCTCAACCTGGGTTTATGCATTCATCCGTTGACTGCTGGTGCATGCTACGGCTTATGAGAGACAGTTTCATCGTGACCCAAAGCCGAAGGCGCCACAAAAAGCCAATCCCCATCGCGCTTTCGCTCGCCGCAGGCCTTTCGCAAGCCAGCCCACTGGCGTGCAAAGGTCAAGCTTTTCAGCCTATAAACAATGGACACAACAATCGGACTGTGGAACTTAGAAACGTTCCAGGAGGATGGCCACGTGCCTTCTGCGAGTCGAAGGGGTCATCTACTGGGGAAACACCGATCTGGAGTCTCCCAATTCCGAGAAGAAGGCAAGCACTTCTGAGACTCTTCAGCAACTGCATAGTTCTGCGTGAGGTGTCTGAAACTGGACTCAAGCAACCACCTTGGATTGGTTCAAATGGGGCAAGACCAGTAAATCGGCCATTTCAGCATGTCGAGACCAAATCGGTGTCCAAAACTTGACGCCCAGAGACTCGGCATCGACGGGGAAAGGGCCTGCATCCCTGACCTGAGTTGGCCAAAGTGACCCGAACTTTGGTCGCGATTTCAGGAATGAGGAAGCCTGCAACCAAATTCCTGCAACCAAACTCACTAGTCGGGCGGGTCACAAACAGTTAATGATGAGAGCGCCTGCAAAGAAAATCATTTGTGGGTGGGTTGGTTGGAAAGTCGACAAGCGAAATCAACATGACGAGGACACCTACAGCTGACAAAACAGTGATGCAAACCTTCACAACATGACGCAAAATTCAACTTAGATTGAAGTGGAAGGACCATGTTAATCAAAGCCTCCCAAGAAACCAAAGTTATGCCACCTAGAAAGAAGCTCAAATAAGGAACCACCCGACATGGACCTGGCTGAGGGTCTTCCAGGACCATCTTTCTCTAAAAAGGGTTCCATGGATCCCTGGGGAGGGTAACATGAGAACAAAGCACCTCCAGAAGAGTTCCATGTTGTGGGGGATAATTGAAACGATGAGGACACCAACGCAACATAAGCCCGGGTGATATCTCCTGAAAACCGGCAAACGCCTGGAGTCACTCCGAACCACTCCAGAGCTTCTTTGGGCGTATCGGCCCCATGGCTTTCAGCTGGGGAACAAAGTTTGCCAACTGGGATTCTCGCAACATGGATTTCGGACGCCCTTTGATTGGCATTTAACCCGAAACGCAAGGAACCCGAAACGCCATCTTGAAAAGTCTACCTGGAGTGTCCATGACCCTTTAAAAATGGGGTCATTACCCAAAATAATGGGGTCATGGACCCATTTTAAAAGGGTCGGAAGGAGATTCCAGGTATTTGGAGAAACCATCCGCTATTTGGGTCAGGTCCTGGCAGGTTTCCGTCTTTCCGAGCCATCCCACGCGTCCCACGGCTTCGCAATCGTCGGCGCGGCGCAGGTCACGTGCAACTCTTGTCAAGCGGACTTGGAGTTTTCTACTGAAGTATACTGTACAAGAAACACAAAAGGTTGCTTACATGAAGTCAGATCTAGAATTAATCTAAAGTAATGGAATATTTGGAACATCCTCTAAATTGTGAAATTCTAAAGGCCTGCACGCCAAAATTATGCCGCAATACAAAGAAGATCTAACTGGAAGAGGGAGTTCTAACCATGGGTTTAGCTGCCCTTTGGGGACATACAAAAGGCGGTGACCTGTTGGGGTCATGACTAAACATGTGTGGCGCCATCATCGTCTGCCAAACAAGGGGTTGGAAAAAGGTGAAATGTTGGGTCGATTGGCTTGGGGCAAGAAAGTGGGACGTAAGCCCATGGCAATCTCTGACCGGTTCTTGGGCTGATTGTTTTTCGGCCAGCTGCTCGCCGGCCAGTCTCTACCGGCCAGTTTTCCGCGGGCGGAGACGCGCGCACGCGATGCCGCGTTTCGAAAACTCGGCGGTGCGCTCAGGCTCCCTGGGGCCGGGTGGACGAAAGTTGGAAAGATTGGCATTTGCATTTGCGGCCAGCTTGCAAAACCAATATCTGGGTGAATTAGTGTGGGAAACTGGAGAGCAACGATTTTGAGTCTCAAGGCATATTGGAAGCATTTGAGTGAGCCAAATCATCTGGCAATCGTACATAGAACCAGTGAGGCCTCCCTATCTTTCCCCTGTAGATCTCATTCCATCAAAAGGAATGCCCTGTTGATAAGGTGATGCTTATACTAACTGGGGGAACTATGTGCTGCATCTCGCAAGTGCTCAGATGTAGAGGATCATGATCTCCGATGATCGATTCAATTAGTAGGTGGTTGGCAACCATGCAATGCGAAGCACCCTACTCGAAGGAGTAGTGGTAAGCAAATCCACGTGGGTCTGTGTGTTCTTTTTGGTCCCCAAATGGTCGCTTTGCCCTTCGGTTGACCTACCAGGCTCACGCCCAGAACGCCCCGCCCCTAGGGCCCATGTCACCGAGTTTGGCTCACGTGGCTTGCCACATCGTCGGAGCCCATGCTTTGAATCAGAAAAGTTCAAATGCCCACATCAATCAGCAAGACAGGGTTTCAACCACCAGGTTGCATCATGTTGCTTAAACCGCTATGTTTGCTGCTTCCTGTGCTCCAACAATCCAAGAAACCAGCTTCTGTTTGGGGGTTGTGGGTTTCAAGAAAGCCGGTGTTGTCGAACAAGCCACCAATCAAGATCACCAATGCGAGGCCCAATCCAATCCACCAACCCAGTCCATCAATCCAGACCACCACTTGGATGTTCAAACAACGGGTGTTATAACCCAGGTCAAAACTGGTGCAACTGGGGTCAGCTGGCTTACAGCCATGGTAATAACCTACGTACCTGACGTAGGTTGACCATCCAAGAGTTCCCCTTTCTCTCTATTTGTTTAAAGAGTTCCCCAAAACTGGAAGGGGTGATGCCGTTTGGGCTTTTGCCAGGGCACAGTTGTTGTCTTTTTTGTGCTTTATTTATATGTTATTTTCTAGGTGTGTGTGTGTGTGTGTTTTTTTGGGGGAGGGTCATTCATGTGCCAAGTTTGTTTCGCTCTTGTTTCAAACTGTTTCATTGACGATGATTTTGAAGCTGCGGTTACCTGTTCCGCTCGCCTGGCCAACGGCGCGGGTGAAGGCTAAGCTGAACCTCAGCTCGACATGGGCGAGCGAGACCATGCGCCCCGCTTCGGTGCCCTCTGGGGACAACCGGAAGGATGTACGTGTTTTGTAAAGGGACCAGGTTTCCTTCTTGCTTTCCTTTTAAAACCTGCCAAGCAGGATGTACGTGTTGTGTAAAGGGACGCCAAAGGAGTGGGTTTCCTTTGTTTTCAAACCTACCAAACAGGGGTACAGCACCCCCCAGAAAACGACCGCATCCCAGAAGCATGTGGTCATCTCCAGGGCTTCAAACCAACCCCGAAGCCCTGGTGCTCCTTGATCCCAGACCGGATCCAAGTGGATGTCCATGGGATAAAAGGGTACCCTTGATCGGTAGCCCACCCCCTCAATAAAAAAAGAAGAGCGCAACATAGCGCAACAAAAACAACAAACAAACACGCTAAGTAATTGAAGCAACCGATTCCCTGACCTCAAAAGGTCAGACACATGGTAAAAAGGCGCAAACATGGATCAGGGAAGCCTTGCCTTTCGACCGTTCTGCGTCAAAATAGGACTCCAACCCCTAGAATAGCCTTTGGCTGTCCTTTTGCTTTCCCTGAAAAGAGCACGCTGAACAAAGAAGCCATGAAATCCCAGAAGACACCTGCCGGCAGTCTCCCGCTTTTGGCCAAACGTTTGATCACACGAATCCAATACCTCACGGGGATCGGGTGGCCTTGTATAGGTTCAACCAAACAGGCGCAACCTAAGGCTTCGGCAACCCTCCAAGGCTTGAACGCGGGTACCCTGAAAAACTCCAGCGCTTCCAGGTGCTCGTTTAACTGGCACTTTCGCAAAGTGCCCGTTTAACCAGCACTGTGTCAAGAGGCTGGATTTCAACACCGTAAAAGGTGCGTGAGAAACCGTGAAAGACCGTGAAAACCTCGTGAAAACAGCGTGAAAAGACGCCCTTCGTTTACTCATGCTAGGGCTCCCAGTAAAGACAGCACTTTTATCAAACGTGCTCGTTTAACTTGTCCTTTGGACTTGCTGGGAACGGAAACCCACCCTCGGGATGTCCTAGAGGGTGGCGCAGGATTTCTTGTAGTCGCACGTGAAACCTGGCAGTTGTTCCTCAAACACGCCATCTCTTGGTTGGTTCCCATTTCACTACCACGCAGGAGCAACGATAAACAAACGATCTATAACTACGACCCGCAACAACACAGAGCTTTTGCTTGGCCAATTTGCAGCATGCCCTGGTTGGTTCTTGGATTGGGATTCAGACAGCTTGAGATTCAAGGCTAGTGCGTCAAACGGAGGCAAGCCACGCACTTTGCAGAAGCGCAAACAGCGTGAGAAAGGGCATTGTTCTCAAAACGCGGATTCGAATCCCAACCACGAAAACCAACATCCATGTGCCCTGAGCCAAGTTGTGAAACTAGTGCAAGATCGGGGGAATATCGGGGACTACCTAGGTTTGGGGGCTCTTCGCGATTTGCGATCTGGTGGTTTGGAGGTTACGGAAGTCACCTATCCCCAAGCCCACTGAAGGCATCTCCGCGAGCCCCGGGCCATCCCTGCTCCCCGGTGTTGCGGTTTTTGCCGAAGACCTGAGACTGGTCTCGGACCGGGTCGGGGACCCAAAATTGAGGAATTGGACCCAAACCGGTTGGTTTCCTTGTGGCTCCCCCTTAAAACGCGAAGACGGGGTCCCCCAAAGAAAGACACACCCACATGACCACGCAAACAGGGAGAAAACCAACGAAAAACCTGCCTTCAATAGAACAAATGCGGTGGGGTGGGTGCGTTGAACATATTAGAATGAACCACTGCTCTCCGAAGACCCTGGTCGTTCTCTTGTCAGACCCCGACCCATCGCTCGAGGTTGTCGGACTCCATGTGCGGGTCCTGGCAATCGCTACCCCGTTGGTTTTATCAAAAGGACTCGGACCCGGAAAGTCGAACCCTATCCACTTGAGCAATGCCATAATTCAGCTAATAGGTCACTGATGGACGAAATCCGTTCGCACCACTTTGAAACCATGGGAAGCAGAAAGCTTGTTGGTATTTACGGGGGAATCATCATTCCAGGGAATCTTAGGTGGTGCAGGATTTCGTCGATTCACAGTATCACCTCATACTATCCTCAATGGGGTTGATGACATGGGAAATATATTCAGCTAATAGCTTCATATCGGCTGGGTCCGACTTGGGCCTGTCATGATCTTTAAAGGAAACCAAGAGAACACCCACTAGTTCCGAGGGTCCCCTAACAGAAAGCCAAGCCAATGTCTGTTTCAAGGTACGGAGTGTCTTCTGACATTGACGGTGGTTGTGCCAAGATAGTTCCAGGCAAACTCTGGCGGTGACTGGCGCGCACGAGTTGGTGGTTTGTCCCAGACTTCGACACCTGAGGTACAGGATTTGGTCCGTCCACTCTGAAGAAATCATCAGCCCTCTTGCTGCATCGAAGCCTATCGGTCCCTTTCCGGAGAAACACGTGGCCTGTGAGAATGGAATCCTGTCCATAGGCGACCTTTTGACAAAATTAAATAGCTTCCTGGATAGATGGTTCATAACACCCGTCTGAACCAGTGGAACCCATGTATGTCGAACCAAACTAACCATTCCCAAGGACACCTATGATCCTGTCAAAATTTGTTCGAAACAACCAAACACGCAAACAAACAAAAACATCTAATATTACACGAGCTCCACCAAGCAACATGGCACGCTGTAGGTCCCTGAAAGGAATCTGGGAGCTTCTCTGATCCTCAGTGACGTCGACGATATCCCCCAGACGCAGCACCAGCTCGCCTAGACACCGGAGCCGGTCTTGTATTGGCCTCCTCTTTGTGGGGCCCCAAAACTGCGCTTCGTGTTTCCTTTTTGTTGGAAAACCCTTAATGTTGACCCCGGACAAATAAAACGCTGTCTATTAATATGGGGGTGTTCCCCTCCGAAAGTGATGATTCCCACTGAAAACAAGGGACACCCCCATATCAATAAACAGGGGTTCATTAATCCGGGGTCAACATGAAAAGGGGAGGTGTAGCAACACCACCCACTGTAGCAATACGCCTACGCGAAAATCCTGCGCTGATTGGCTGTCAAATATCCTTCTCTCGCTTTGCTTTGATAATCCCCTTCAAAGGGAGCCTTAGTAACATCCACCTATCACTTCGGGCCAGGCACACCAGCTGACATGGTGTAGCCCACTTCTTATTCATCCTTTCGGGACCGGTTTCTGGAAGATCATTCTTCCTTTTGAGATTGGCTCCTGTGCTGGGACGGCACGTGAAAACAACCAAACATGCTTTCTGACAGGAGGTTTGATTAGTCTACCACTGCCCAATTCGATGGTTTGTTGGCTCTCAAATTGGGGATTCAGACACACCAAACTGGTCGCTGGGCCCGCTGCTTTCGTAAACTTCTAGCAGCTCGTCGCAGACTTCGCGCTCGTAAGGAACCTGCCGCAATCGAGCTGAGCGCCGATGCTCCGAATTCATGGCAGGTACTCCTCGCAGCTTTTCACGTGGATTGGTGGCGTGGATTGGTGGTTTGGTTAGGGACGGTTTCCGATTTGCACTCGCCAAGAAGCAGGGTACAAACCACCAATCCAAACCACCAGTTAAGGGCTACTTGATCTTCTTTCCATGGAACCTGACAGGCAAATCCGGAGAACCCTTCCAACATGAGGGTCTTTGGTTGGATTATTTCTCTGCTAAATGGGGGGGGGGGGGAAACATACACTACCTCAAATCGGTTGGCACCACAAAGAAGCAGCTCTGAGCCGCAGTGCGTGTGTGTTTTTGTCCGTGCCATGTGTGCAACTGTCAGCAAAGGGGGTTCCAAAGCTGCGCGGGTTCCTTGGGCTTCCTCTGCAAACCAAAAGAGAGGGTGCAACAAGCGCGAACACGTACTCATGCAAGTGAAAAGAAACTTGAGTAACAAACCTACATCCAATTGCTACTCCATATTGCATGTCATTGTATTAGATATTGATTGTATTACTGCACTATTTCAATGCATGTTATATTACATTGTACTATATCATATTCATGTATTACATGACGCGTCGACTGTAACTTGACAAATCCAAAGCCTTATTTTTACGACCCCAACGCTCCCGGCTTGCTGCGTGTGCCCCCAGGCATCGGCTTTGACCCCTTAAAAGCGGGCTCTCATTCCTTGGGCGGAACTTTGATGAAAGGGGCTGCAATTCTATCCGAGCACTGCTGCCCTGTTCGGACCTCCACATAAAAGGCGATCACCGTTGGGGACCTTGATGTTAAGGGGAAAACCACAAGTTGTCAGAAGGATGGTTCTGGACAACTGAGTTAGTGCCGCCACCGCTTTGGAGAGAGTTCCCCCTCAAACTCCACCATAGGATCGCACGTGCCAGAAGCTGTTTTGATTCTCTGTCGCCCACAAGGGACTCAATATGAAGGCCATGGTCATCAATTGACCATAGTCGCATTGACACAGGCCCCGCGAAGGACAAAGCCTTGAGCTGGAAAGCAAAGACACAACATGCGGCTTTGGGGCTTGTCTCCCAGCATGGAAATTCTGACCCTCTCCATTCTGTGCAGGGTCCCTTCTCTTCCGAAAATGGGCAAGCACAATGTCAATGCGGGTGGTCTCCTCACTTCCTGAGTGGATTGGCCAAAAAAAGCCCAAGCCTTGTATTTGCGACTAAATGGTCCGAGCCCAAAAGTGACTCACTCGTCCGAAACGGAACTCGATTGGGTATGGGTCAAAATTTCAAACACCGGGTCACCAGGATATGAACCACAGGTTTTAGTCCATGTTTCCACTTACCAGGGCTCCATTTTGGGTACCTATTTTTGCCCCACAGTCATTTTCCTTGCATCGCAACGACCAACTGGAGTTCAACCTGAGAAATGGAACCCAAATGGATCTATATAGTCCTCAGTCGGCATTGATTCATGGGATTCTCGCACGTCTGTGGACTTGAACAAAGGTTTAAGTTAATGGCAATCCAAACGTACCCTCTGAAGCTTACGAGGAACCGAGAACTCCACAACCATCTACTTGGAAGTTCGAGTAAGTTGGTAACCGCTCGACAAAAACTCACGTAAACCCCCCTCCATAAGTGGGTCCCAGTCAGTGGGATATAACCCAGGTGGCGTTGGCCACTAACTTTGGCAAAGAACATCCACCTGGAGTCTCCTTCGGCCACTTTGTCTAGGGGTCATGGAGACTCCAGGCAACTACCCTTTCGGAGACCTCAAACTTTTGCATCTGGGCCCGGAATCCGTCGATCCACACCTCCATCAAGGCGCTGGGCCGATTGCTCCTGTTGGAAAAGCCGGCTGAGACAAATCCCCCTTGACATTGGTTCCAACATGGTCATCAACATGGGCATGAAGGTTTATTTCCACACGATCATGAAGGTTTATTCCAACATGGTCATAATGTTTTTTTTTTTTTTTTTTTTTTTTTCTCATGGTCATAAACGTTCAGTCCAATATGGTCATAGAGCTTCCAACATGGTCATACATGTTGGAGTACGGGCGTATGTAGGCCATACTATAGCCGCCACCTCACTAGGCATCGCCTGCTAAAACTGCCAACAGGGTTCGCAGCTGCTCTAGTGAGTGGTGTATTTGATGTTAGCATCCGCCAACGAATGACGTGCTTGTTGCTTTGCTGAACATTGTTTGCTGCCCCCAAATACTGCTTGCCTGCATTGGAGGTCCAAGACACTCAGGAAGAATCGAAAAGCACTTCAGGGGCCTTGATTAGTTGGGTTATCCCTTTTCAGAAGACAAGCCCAACCCATCAGGCTGCCTTTTGATTCTTTCTCTCACCAAACTGTGAAGCTTTCGGGGGTCCCAAGTTCACACCGGCAACCAAAAAGCAAGAACCGAAGGCTCTGCACTCCCAAATGTGGCCGTCTCCCACACTCGGGCCAAAAAGATCGCTGCGGCTTCGAGCTCCCTGCGCCCATGCAAAGAAGACACTCCAAGCAAAGGCGGAAAGGACTTTGAACCATGTCTTCAGGCAGAACCCGGTTTCCAAACTTCTCTTTGGACACTTTTTTCGACTGGACGGTGGAAAGCGTGAGATACTTCAATGTGATCTTTCAGCAAAGGTAAGAATCCGGGTTCGCTTTTCAATGGGGGACCCCTTTCAATTGGAGGAGCATAACATTCCACCTAAATGATGTTCACCCAGAGATCCCCGTTCAAAAATCACCTCCGCAAGATTGGGTTACTACTCACTTACTTGATTGATGCTTGGATGCTCAACCTACTAAGTAGATTATGATCAAGGTAACTATTAGTTCGCCTACCAAGGTTGTAACCTACTTCGCTTGAACATCCATGTTGATTTTAGACAACCGGCATAAGGACTCCTACCAAGGGTCATGACTTTGGGATCCAGAACCCCAAGTGCCAAACGGCGCGGCGTACCGTCCCCTTCGGCGAGCCTTGGCGCCTCTTTCACCGCGCTGAGCGCCGCCTGAGTCATGTCCGGGCTCTCATCATCTCACCAGGTCAGGTGCGACAAACAGGCGCGAGAAAAACAAGACACAACCTAGATAGCCAAGTTGCTGCTTTTTTCAGTCACTGTTGCTGGTTTTTGGGGTAAAGTGGATGGACAAAAACAGCAACTGGCGATCCAGGAACCAAAACAAGAACGTCTTCTTCTGTTTGAAGGTCTTCCTGGTTTGCGCTCTGTGACACCGCTTGGCGAATTTGAGGCTTCGGAACTGCAGATGCTCCGAATTCAGAACGGAAGACGCTCGATCCGTCAGGGGAGGTGCCCAGCTGTGCAACATCCCGAACGAATGCAGTCACAGGTTCAGGATAGGAGGAGTGACGAGAAAAGCCCGGTCTAATGTGCTATGTGAGCTCCGCCAAAGCAGAAACTGTTTCGACATGTTCTTCGACTGAAACGCTTTGCTAGTCGCTAGGTCATGACAAAGTCAGCCCAACAGAAACTGCCTTCGTTCCTCCATGGCGCTTCTGAAAATGACAACAGTTTCCCCTCTGAATACCAACCAGACGGATCCCACCGGGACTCTGCAAAGACTGCCCACTTTTGCTGGTGAGGAAAGCTGATGGAAAACTCGCGCGGTTTCAACCAGGGAGTCTTGGTGAGCGATCCGTCTGGTAATGAGTCAAGGAGGGTCCCCAAAAAAGAAGTTACACATAGGAAGTCCTCTAAAAAGGCAACGGCTTCCCTCCAAATACCAATTATTTTCTGAGTGGATTGACCAAAAAATTCAACTTCGTGTTTAGCACTAAAATGGTGACCCGAAAAGTGACTCAAGGTTGAGACGGAGCCCGAAATATTGCAAGTAGGGAACAAGGGAAACCCTGTAAATTCCGATGGTTTGTCGTTTACTTGCAATACTTAGGGCATAGGGTATCCTTGAATCGCTGGCCCTATGGATGGCACAAAATCCAATCTAAACCAGCGGAACCCGATTTCTAGCCAAACAAACCCAGAGAGGCCATGCTTTAATGTTGACCCCATATCAATCAACCCCAGCCCAGTTTATTGACACAGGGTGGGTTTGGGCCAGAAATCGGGCAGCCGTACCAACCAAAGGGGGCGCCGTTCGATGCGTCGCAGCGGTTCTTCGGTGCCCGGGCGATGCTCGAGGGCTTCGCCCGGGTGTTGCCTCGGAGACTTGCGAGAAGTTGGGAATGAGAGAATGAACCCGAGGATCCCCTTGAAGGAAACCACCAGTTGGATTGTTTATAGATGTTTGGAACTAGGTCTGTTGCTGCAAAACACGCTGTCTGTTTTACATTGGTTTCCCACTTGACTACTTTCAAGGGGATCCCCTCGGAATTTCGCAGACCAAAAGCACGAAGGAAGCCCGGGGGAGCCACCGAATAGCATCAAACCCTCTTAGGTCAACGTGTTGTGTGTGTTTTGATTGAACACCAAAAGGCTGTAAGACATCCCCCAGAACTTTCGCAGGGTAAACTCATGCCCTCGTTTCTGACAGAAACCTTTCTGGCATTTGGGGTGAAGACCTGATTCCTTGGCGGCCCGTTTATCGGGGGCATCGCGCGCAAGCGGGGTGTTTCCCGGGCGGTATTGACACATTTTGGTTGGCGCATACCTCGAAGGCGCGCCCCGTTGATCGGGCTGCTTTGGGCTGCTTTGTTTCGGCCTGCAACTCCCTGAAATCCAAACCCGCTACGGCGTCTCCAGTTGAGGGCTACCTGATATTCTCAGATCAGATGTACATGGCGTGTGTCTCTATTTTTCACCCACACAAATCACCCCTTAAAGGCCTTTAGGGCCCCAAAATGAATCGGTCGGGGGGCAACTCGTCTTTTTCCAGGCAAGAGGGATACCTCAAAAGGAAATCAGCCGTTGGCTGTTGTGTTTTATTACTATTGTTTCTCTGAGGACATTCCCTCAAGAAACTGCCTTGAGAGACAGCAAGATAAAGTCACCAATCGAGTAGATTGGCGAAAGCAACACATCTTTCTGCTTGCCACTAAAATGGTCTTCCCCCCCCAAAAAAAAAGAAGTCCGGGAACTCAGGGAGTCAGTACATGTAAACCGTAATGTGCGCTAAGCGTACCACAAAGCATGACCATTGACTTCTGCGTGGTGGAAGCCCGGTTGGAACAATCGTCAGCAATACCTCGTTCACTGGGGATGCGATGAAAACAAGTTGGTGCTTTGAAGAACAAAACACCCGTTGTGGCTTCCTTCACTAGCATCATGTTTTTTAGTCGGTGTCTGAAAAAGCCAACAAGAAACTAACACGAACACCAGGTGGTTGCTGTCAAACAGAAGTCGAAGGGCCCCATTTACGATGGGGGCAAATGCTGTGCCGCTACTTTTGGGTCCATAGCTTCGACAACTCATGGCCTGCCTTTTGTGGGAAACCCGATTGTAGTGGGCTACGTGGAACCAAAACGGAGCCCTGCATTTTTAAGGGTCCGAATCCTCTAATTATCTCCTTGGTCGGTTTGCACGGCGCCAAAGACGCCCGAGAGGGGTTCTCCTTGGTCACCGGGCTAGGAACCGGAACCCGAGTCGTCTGTTTTTGGTGCCCTTGAAGTGAGAAGCTTTCCGAGGAGGCTTTTTGCCAACTTGGAAGAGTATCCATGACCCCCATACGGGAGGAGCACCCCCCCCAAAAAAAAAGAATGAAGGAAGAACAACTGAAATGTGGTTCGGTGTTCCTGTCTCCTTGGGTTTCCCCATTGGAAACCCTAGAAACCACGGGCGCCCATTTTCCTCAAAAGAAAAACCAAAGAGAGACGCAGCCAAAATTCGATCCCCCCGGACTCGGGGCAACGGCTCTCGAAGACCTTGCTGGGCGCCTTAGAGCCTCCCAACGATGCGCGAGCGCATCGCCCCATGTCCCCCAAACGATGTGTGGCTCAGATCACAGTCTTTGGACTTAGTAATGTTGGGGAGTGATTAATAAAGGCCCCCCCCCTCAAACGAAAATTGGGGGGGTCAATAGCGAGAACCCCCAAAAGCAAGTTGGGGGTCAGACTGGGACCTGCCTGAGTAGTTTTCCAGTAAGTATTGTTTAGAATTGGTTTAGTATTGGTTTAGTATTCCTTTGAGCTGGCTCACTACGGTTTAGAATTGGTTTAGTATTAGTTCAGTATTCTTTTCAGTTGACTCACTACAGTATAGAATTTGTTTAGTATTGGTTCTTCTTCTTGGCAGGCTGCCCTGGCCATTTTTTTCACAATTCCCTACCCTTAAACAAACTGCATTATTGCCTTCCTGGGGGTTCCGGTGCCACCCCCTTGAACATTTGTCAGGGTGCATCTTCTAGTAAAGGGATTGATAAGGAATTTGGTGGTTTGGGACAGGAAGCAATCCAGAAATTCTGGACATTTCTGGCTGGACTCAAACGTTTCAACCCTCAAAAATAGTCCATTCTTGGAAGGGGACATATTTTCGGGGTCTCGGGCAGATGTTTTTCTGTAATACCTAGCCTTTTTGCTTTTCAGGAGAGTGAATAATTTTGAGATATATTTTTCTGTATTCACTCCCGTTTTATTAATCGCTATCTAACACTACTTTTTTTCCTGTTTGAATTGTTGTATTCTTTCTTTTTTGTTTTTGGGGTGGAAGGGGGTGCTTTGTTCAAAGAGGATTTTGGGGGGCTTGGTCTGAAAAGGGAGCGGGAGCCTATAAAAGGGTTTCTGTGCATTTCCTTCGGGTGGTCTCTCGGACATGAAGCTCAAAACGAGCCAACCCGCGACCAATTCCCTTGAGGCCTGAGGCAAGATCGATCAACAGCTGGGGTCGAAGTTCAAGGGGTGCCCCCTGCAAATCTTCGGTGTTTTGGAGCTCAAAAAGGAGTCCCTCAAAATGCGAAAGGGAGACTTCACAAACCTGGGTGAAAGTGTGTGTTCCATGAGCGAATCGACCGGCGCGGTGAAGTCACGTTTCAACTGGTGCCTGGCGCAGAGTGTGTCCTTCAGTACCACCACCCCAAAGACCCCGAAAACCGTTTGACACATGAGGGCGGCTCGTCTTTGTTGTTTTTAGGATTTGGACCCCCAAACTGGTGGTTTTTCAAGTGGCTTCCTTTAAAGCTATCAAGCACGGGATATCCTTAAAAAAGAGGAGCCACCCATGTATACACGCGGAAGTTCCGGACGCTTCTCAAAACAGTTGGCTTCTTGTTTTGTCTCCACCCAACCCTTTCGCCGCGCCATTGCCTTCCGTTGGCTCGGAGTGGCAACATGGATCTGAAACCTGATTTAGATGATCCACTTGTAAGGCAGGTGGCTTTTGATGTATTGTAATTAGGAACTTTGTGCCACAGTGCTGCGCCTATTTGTCCTATCCCAAGTTTAACCAAGGCCTTAAGATCTGGTCTCACTTTCAGGGAAATTCGTCAGAGTCGCTCTTTTTCAATCAAGGGTACTAAGTTGGTCGGGAGACGAGCCAAAAAAGAAAAAACAAACTGGAAACCAAGTTAAGTAAGCCAACCCACGCTTCCACTGTTGTTTTTCTTTTTTTTTTCTCCCCGAAATCTCTTGAAACTCCACGCGCGCAGCCCGAACCTCACAATACCACAATACCAAAGTCACCCACAACGTGGTAGGTCCTTGAAGGAACAACCCAGTGGCTGACTTGAGCACTCCCAATAGTCCAAGGAAACTCACTTCAAATTGGCAACCAAATGGTTATGTTGTCCTCCACCTCCAGTTCAGAAAGGGGCCCAGGGCCGGCCTCGATTTTTCCCGGAGTTTTCGCGCTGGAGCCGCGGTTGAAAAGGGGTAAATTGGGCTAAATCAACAGAATCGGGCTTTACTCAGGGTGGGCCCTGGCGGCCCCCGAGAGGGTCTGTAGTGCCGTGCGGGGCCGGAGGGCGCCAGGGGAAAACTATTCATTCAAGGGCAAATACAAAGACCCTGACACATCCCGCTGTGACTTTGCATGGACATCCACAGCCAGCGCACCAGTTGGGAAGCATGAAACCTGGGAACCACTCCAAAAGCAGAAATATATTATGTTTTTGTTGGCTGCTGGTTTTAAGGGAAACCAAACCATTTTGGGGGGGTCCAAATTCCTCAAAAAAGGACGCGCCCATCTAGGGACCTTTTTTCTTTTTACTTTCGGTCCCTGCCTGCGACGCTGGTCCGCGCCTTTCGGTGCCCAGGAGGGGAGGGGTGCGGGGGGGGAGGGGGGGGGGGGCAGGCAACCTTTTCGAGGCTCGGTACCTTTTTTGAGGTTGGTTAAAAGAAACGCCGAAGAAACAGAAATCCATCGTTGGGGTCCATTTTTTCTGATGTTGACCTACTACACTCGTATCTCCGAGTCATGGTGACTTTCCTGCACACAATCGGTGAAATCGCCTTAAACCCCTTCAAGCAAGAGGAACACGGTCAAGAGCTGTGGAGCTGGCAAATCAGTTGTATGCAACCTTGCCATTTTGAAGAGTAATCACTTCAAGGAACAGGGTACATCACAAAAGGTGGTCGCCCTCGTTTTAACCATGGCTTTGTCCCGTACCCATGGTGGCTAACCATGTAATAAAATATCAATTTAAGTAATCACAGATTGTTGACAAACAAAATGATTCTCGAAAGGCCGCCAGCATTTTGCAAAGTCGCTCTCCATAGTTGTCCACTGTACCCCTATACTTTGTGATTTGGTTGGGTGGTTT